ACTATGATAACTAAGGTAAACAGTTCTAAGGATAACATGAAGTCCACAAGGCATGTTAAGCGGAGATTAAAATCTGTCAGAAAATCGAGAAAACTCCGAAGTGATAGCGTTGGACTATGTCCACACATCTAAAAATTTGGCAGATCAATTCACTAAGGGACTATCACGTAATGTGATAGATAGTGCTTAGAGTGAAATGGGCTTGAGACCTACATGAAGTCTATCATGGTGGTAACCTGTTCTATGTGATCGGAGATCCCGTGAATTAGGATGGTGAAACAAGCCAGGGGTAGGCTATGAGGAAAGACCCTTAACTAAACCCATGTCAGATGCACTTCTTTCCTTTTCTATAAGATATGTTGGTTTTATACCTTGATGTGTTCCAAAGTGGCTTGTTGAAGCAAAGATGTTGTCCTACAAAACATCTTTTGAGAAACACACCTATATGAGTTCGACTGCTAGTCACAGTTTATGAGATTTGGGTGATCTCTAGATACTCATAAATGGGCCAGGAGTATGACTTATATGCTCCGACTAGAGGGGATGCTTTTTGCAACCTAGTATCATTAAAGGGCCTGGGTGAAACTTATTTCGCACAAAACTATCAATTCAAGGTATAGTCCATTTTATAGTTGTGAGTAAGCGTAACCTTTGCTCTAGGTGGAAGTTCAACTTAATAGTTTCCATCGAAACACTGCTATATCAAACGACAGAGAGAATTGAAAGCATTTCTTATGTGCCCTGGAATTTGGTGGGGATTGTTGAATATTATATGGGTTTAGGCCCACATTTTATTTAATAAATCAATTAATTCTAGACCCATATTAAATGTTGTGGCACAATATAATTTTAGTCTCGTATGGGATTTTTGACTGATTGTTGACTCAACTTAAATAGGCTACACACGTGTGCACCTATAGAGAAGTTGAAAGAGACCAAAGGCGTGCCATGTGCGCGCGCGTGACGCAGTCGCCACCACCGAGCAGAGCGGAGCACAGTGAGCGATGCGATGAGAGGGTTGGTTTTGCCACTTGGGTTGGCTAAGAAAGAGGAAGGGGTACATGCGCTAATGTGGAGGAGTTACTTACGGGTCAATTACCATACACTACGGTGGTGATTACTCGTAATCACTTTGACTCTTCGTCTCGCTGATCTCTCCAGCATAAGCTTCCCTCCTGTCTCCCTGTTGCCTTACGGCCATACCACACTTTCCTCCTGTCGAGTTGCATCTGAGTACTCCTCGTCCCATTCTCTGCGCGCACGGAGTGTGAGAGAGTAGGCCTCTAGAACTGGCATTCGCATCGGGACACCTGCTCGGGTATGTGCAGGCGATCAGGTTTTTGGGGAGCGTCTCCACGACTGCTCGTAGTCTTCTTCATCTCCTCGAATTGGCTTCTTCATCTCCTTCCTGGTGGTGCCTCTTCTTCCTCGGATCGGCTTCGTCTACTTTCCTATGGACGTTTGAGGGACGACACTGCATATATCTTCCTGCACCAACTGTGGTCCGCGACTTCGAGCAACTCACCATGAGTGAGTCTAGAGCCACCGGTGCCTTGAGCATGGGTTCCTCCGTAGGATGTATCTCTATTCTCAAATTGGTTAAGTTCAATCTCTTTTTCGCCATGATCAGTATAATGTTCATCAACACACACTACTACAAAAACAATTTGTAGCAACGTCTTCCTTTCTTTGTAGGGGCGGCTCTATATTGAGCCGTCCCTACAGATGGTTGTCAAATGAGCCGCCCTTATAAATGGATTTATAGGGACAGCCGGTGTTATCATCCGCCCCTACAAATGGCCTGATTTGTAGGGGCGGCTCTATATCTAGCCGCCCCTACAAATCGGATTTGTAGAGGCGGCTCAATATTGAAGTGCCCCTACAAATAGAAGCCGAATATTAAAAATTAAGCACGAAAAATCAAATTTTGTAAACGACCTCGGATGGAGAAACAACCAAAATGAAAGTTGTAGATCTCGAAAAGTTATGAAACTTTGTAGTTGACAACTTTTTGATTTGAAATCATCTTGTTAAGGAAAACTATATTTGAATTTCCAAAAATTTAAAATTTGAATTTTTTAAACGACCTCGGATGGATAAACAGTAAAAATGAAAGTTGTAGATCTTAAAAAGTTATGAAACTTTGTAGTTGATAACTTTCTCATTTGAAATCATCTTGTCATGGAAAACTACGTTCGAATTTCTCAAATTTGAAATTCAAATTTTATAAGTGACCTCGGATGGAGAAACTACCAAAATGAAAGTTGTAGACCTCGAAAAGTTATAAAACTTTGTAGTTGACAACTTTTTTATTTGAATTAGTTTATGGCCTCAAATAATCAATTTATGCTCAGTTTTGTATAATATGTGGGGAACCAAAATAAAATATAGACACAAGTGATCGTGAGGTGCAGTGGTAGAGGAGTTTACGTGCAAGTGAGAGGTTGCGGGTTCGAAATCCGGCCGATGCAAAGTGTGCAAAAATCGTGAAAAAATACTACAACGATAGAGTTGGGTGTGTGTGGCTGTCGGTGGGGACCTCCTCGGATAAAAAAAATTGCTATTTTTTTTACCTCTTTTTTTATGGTTTCTGAAAATTGATTTGCAGGGGAGGCTTAATATCCAGCCGCCCCTACAAATCGATTTGTAGGGGCGGCTAATAACACCAGCCGCCCCTACCTCTACAAATCGATTTGTAGGGGCGGTCTGGGAACCACCTCTATAAATCGCTGATTTGTAGCCACCTCTTCGTAGGGGGCGGCTGGCAAAACCGCCCTTACAAAGGGTTACGAGCCGCCCCATAAAAAACATTTCTTGCGTAGTGAGATTTGCTGCTAATCTTAGTAGTAGTAAAATCACACACGTATATATATATATTTGTCATCATAATTTTACTATTATTTTTCTAAATTAATTTTAACTTGCCGAAACTCCTAACATTTTATACCTGCAGCCAGGGATCCGAAGGAGGCCGACATCATCTCCTTCAGCATGCAAGTGAATTCGAAATTCGAGAATGCTCTAGGGCTTACGGACCAACAATACACAAATCAGATTCCTTTAGAAACTTGCCTGGTCATGAAGCACCACCATGCAGTGACCAGGGATGGATATGGGCCTCAAAAAATCCGATTATCCCTATTAAATTTTTTGGGCCAATTCAATCTGGCCTAGGTGTGGCCGCTGGCCAAGTACAGCCCAACAAATGTCAAACAGCCTGCACCCGCTCGTCTCTCCTTCTCCTCGTCCTCTCCTCTCCTCTCGTCCCTGGCAAACGTTGGCGGCGTTTAAATCGACAAGCGACGCGGACAAATCTACTGTGGGCACGGCTAATAAATCGACCGGTGGCCACTCGATTGGCATGCAGCAGCAGCACGCTAGCATGGCCAAATCAAGCAATGGGGCAGCGCCAGCGCGGCTGCTGGACGCCTGGACTACGGAGGCTGGCCATGGCCCACGGCTGGAGGAGAGCACAGCAGTCAGCAGTCTAGCTCTAGCCTTCCATGCTTGCAGCAGGTATAAGTTTAATGGTAGAACACTTATTTAACAATAACAATTGTTCTTACTTCATTAACACTTATTTAATAATAACAATTGGCTAGAATGACATGTGAAGATCATAATCAAAATATCATTTTGTTTAATGGTAAAATATATGCATAGTACTTTTTTCTTCGGTTACAACACACAAATGATAGGGATGGCAACGGGTTTATACCCAAGGGTATCACCTACCAATGCCCATCAGAATTTTTCATACCGCAAGAAACTCATGCCCATATATGGGTGCAATTTTGTGCATATACCTATGCCCATGCGTGCAAACGGGTACTCATGCGTTGTTCATGTTCAAGAAGAATGTAACACATGTATTAAACTATGACTATATACGAAATAGACAAATAGTAGAACAACAAATATGTCATAAATGTAATAGAAAAATGGTATATATGCTGCTCCTTTATATGACACTAGGTGTGCTAGTTAGACCATGTTTTCGAATACATTAGAATGAAAGATGGCTTTGAATTATACATGCATATCAAATATACGTGCCCATGGTTTTACAAGTTCGGATAGAGCGTAACCATACCGTATCCATGGTCCCAATGGGTATGGATTTTTTTTCTCTTATTAACATAGGTAAGTAAATTAGCCTACATGTATGCCCTAATACAGAAAAAGCTCATTGAATTTTGGGTCGTGGGTACCATTGCCATTCCTAAATGACAAAACTAGTATTTCATCGGTTCTAAATTATCGCATTTTTTTTGTAAATACATAGCTTTTACAATATATGTAGACATAATCTATATCTACGTACTCCCTTCGTTCTAAATTATAAGTTATTTCAATTTTATTGGAAAGTCAAAGCATCTTAAATTTGATTAAAATTGTAGATAAAAACTACAGGATTAATGACATCAAATAGGTATACTATGAAAATGTAATTAATGAAAAATCTAATGTTACTTATTTGTTATCATAAATGTCATTATTGTATTATATAAATTTGGTCAAACTTGGAATATTTTGACTCTCAGAGAAAGTTGAAATAATTTATAATTTGGGATGGAAGGAGTACATAGAAAAAAAAAACTACGCACTACTCTCCGTTCTAAATTATAAGTCACTTTTATTTTTTTAGTCAATTAGTTTTGTGATGTATCTAGATATAATATATGTTATTATATCTAGATACATAGCAAAATTCATGTAGTGTGAGCTTGAACGTCCATGTACAACTCTTCTGACTTACTAGGGCGCCACTAGGATGTGTTGTATTAAATTTTTTTCTCTACCTTAATACAAAGACGTGTAAATCTTTTATGTGAAAAAAATAACTTATAATTTAGAATAGAGAGAATATTTAAAACAGCTAAAATGATTTACGTATAATCTAACTTACAACTTTGAGACGGAGGGACTATAAATAAACATGGTCAACTGAAGGCACCCGCTGCTCTGGATTTACTTTTACAACCTGGTTGCTCCAGGGCATGTCCCATCTGTCAGACAGTCAAACCGGGTCGGCACGATCCGGGAGGCAACGCGGGGAGGAGGGTGACGAACGGCGCTCGGGTGCTGGTGGTTGGGCAGTAGGCAAGGCAGTACGCGGAAGAAACCGCGGCAGCCTGCCCAGCGCAAGAAAAAGGCGGAACCGAACGGAAGCAATCAAAGCCAGCCGCGGCGCTCTCTTGCCAAGTCCCAACCGAGAGGTGAAAGCGTCGTCCCGTCCCCATTTCGCCGCCGACCCCCGCAAAGCAGAAGGCTTTTGCTTTGCGCGTCCTCCCAGTCCGCGGCTAGCGGTCCCCTCTTTCCTACCGAGCTCGCCGGCGTTCCCCTTCTGCTGCTGCCGGTGGTGGTATGGCTCTCCTCCTTGCCCTTTTGATTTGGAATCGTTATTGGGCTCCTGTTGTGGGGAATTTGGGCGTCGATTGAAGCTAAACCTGTCCAGCTTGCGGGGGATCCTGGCTTGTGATTGGCCGAGTTGAATGGAGTCAGTCGAGATTGATTCCAATGAGAGCTCTGCGACGTATGAGTCCCCTGTAGGGGTTTGGCCTTGTCTTTATACATTTTGCGGTGGCAAGTTATCTTTTGCTACCTCCTTGCGCATAGGTTCAATTCAGGAACGTCGGCCTAGATTACTGAGCTAATTAGGTGTTCCGAATTCGTTTGCTGTTTGGTGGGTAACCTAGGATAATCAGCGACGAACTGTAGATGAACTTTTTGTTCAGCGACGAGTCATGATGATACTGGAAAGCAAAATCTATTGGGATCTTGCCCCAGAGTACAGGTAGGCAGGATTCCGTGAAAAAAGTGATGATGTATACCTCCTAACTTCTACTCCTAATAACCTTATCTTGGTTCATCTGCAAGAAAAAAAAAACTAATCATGGTTTGTCAAGAAGAAACAGATTGGTGCTCCAATTTGTAGCCTCAGAATGCAATTTTGCCTCCAGAACAATACTAGTCTCCGTGCTCTTTTCATAACCTAGGTAGCACAGGAACTAGCACATAGTTAAATTTCATTATCCATGAGAGATGGACATCAAATTTTCTGTTGCATCATCATGGCTCCTTGTGCCTCAAGCGCAATATCAGTGCCTCTACTGTACATATATAGTTATACATCTGGGAGGCCATTGTCATCCCGTACATGAAGATTTAAGTATTACATACATGGAACATCACTGTAAGTCCATATGGATAATTGGTTATACACCATATGTTAAAATCATGCTGAAATACTTGGGAATGGATGCAAACTGTGCTTGAGGAGAAAGATATTTGAGATGCCATCAGACATCTCTGACATTTGAGTACTGTAGATAAGTGTGGGCACAAACAAGTTATGCAAATCATTGTTCCTCTGCCAACAACACCATGTACATAGTAATAAACATTTTACAGTAAACTTCATTCAGCTAGGCCTCTCTCATTTTCTCTGCATATGCTTTTCAATTCCCTTTCCTTTTGTGTGTGTGTGTGTGTTTCTCTCTGTGTTGTGTGTGCCTCTCCATTAAAGTTATATAATTTTTCAGCCTACACTTTGTAGGTTCTGTTTCCTTGATATTAATAGTTGTACAACATGTAAATTGCATTTGCATGTTTCTTTCTTTTTTTTTAGATATTCAATTTCTTTGAACTCTTCAAGATGTTTTGTAACACATTTAGTGTATCAATATTACTATAAAATTGTTTATCCTGGCAACTACTAGGTTGGAGATGACACATATGTTTCCAAGGGAAGGTGCCTCATCTAGCTCAACCTCAATGAGCAGCCAGAGGAGTGAAACTAATGATGATAGGATGATTGCAATGGTTCTCTCCGAAGAATATGCCAAGTTAGATGGTGCTATGGCCAAGCGTCTTACTAATTTAACATCGATTCCTGTAAGATGTCTCACGAATTTTATGTTACTTGTATTTTCCTTTGCCTTTTCCTTTTCTTCCCTGCACAGAAGGCTATTTGTTTTATAGGCACACACTGTCTTCATTTCTGCTACCGATAAATTGATTAAAGAAAGTTAACATCACTGGCTTCTTATCTGGTACTCATTTTTATCTGTACATGTGTAGCATGTTCCCCGGATTAACACGTACTTCCCGACATATAGTGATGCCACTATGGACCATTATCGCCTTCTTGATAGGTAACATTTCATGAACTATAGTTTCCTTTATCTGCCTAAGCATTCACATTATTTCGTTAGGAAGTAGATTGCTCATTTTTCATGAAGGTGTTTCAGTATTTTTGCCTTATTTTGCAATCATTAACTTCTTCATGTTTATTTGTTTACATTGGTTAACTCCATCCTCTTATTACTAATATTTTAAACGTCTGGAGATCTCTGTCCTTGACAATGTACAATTTTTCTCGCTCAAACGAATCTTTAGCTATTGAGTTAAAGCCTTAAAGCACAAGGCTTTGTGTTAAATTTTGTTTTGGGGTTGTACCTGGGATGTCGGGAAGAAATTAAAGGAAACAATAAATTGACATGCAAGCTGTGGGAGATTCAACTTAGGATGTGCTTCCCACCATTTATCTCCATCTTCTAAAACATATAAATTGGATCTGTTTCTTTCTAAAATTTTCATTTCCCTGGGTATTCTGCATTTTCAAACAATATTTAGCGATATCTTTACTATGCACATTGTGGATATGGAAGTTCAGTCTCTTGTACGTTGTGCCTGTTTTGTTTATAGATGAAACATCAACATGTGTTCACAATTAAGTGTTCTTTGTAGGCTAAATGCATACGGCTTGTTTGAGGTGAGAGTATCTGGTGATGGAAATTGTCAGGTACACCAACTTCTTGTGCCCATTCAATTTCTTTGATACAGCAACAACAATAACAAAGACTTCTATTGTCCTAAGCAATTTCTCAGGCCCATTCTATTTATTCGATGAAATTAGACAATCTTGTTAAACTACTGATCATATGTTCATGTGGTTGTGTTTTGTTAATGTAGTTTCGTGCACTCTCGGACCAACTATATAGATCACCTGATTATCACAAGCATGTTCGAAAGGAGATTGTAAAGCAGGTTTGTCAATCACCTGGCATTATTAGAAGTACCGTTTTTTAATTTATGTTACCAATTTCATTTACCTTTTTGTTATTTTTTATCTGTCTTAACTATATTATTATGTTTTTTTCATGGTTTGAAGTATTATAAAAAACATTTTTTGGGTCATTATTGATCTGATACTTCCTTTTCTGCGAAGCAAACCTGCATGCTTACATGTACTTAACATCATAATCATTTTTAGGATGAAGAGAAAGTTGTATTACTCATCCAGTAAGGACGCATGAATAAATGGAAGTGGTATTAACTGTGTTAGTTCAACCAGCTTTTTAACAGGGATAATAACAGTACAGGAAAACCCCAAAACGTCATCTATCTGAGAACAAAACCAGCAAATTAAAACATCTTCTATCTAAAAAAGAACAGAGGAAGTATTCAGAAATATAATTTTCTCACCATTGGTCTGATGATTTTCTTTCCTGAGAGGCCTGTATGCTTATATGTGCTGTTTTTCTCCTTTTGCAGCTCAAGGAATGTAACTCCTTATATGAAGGTTACGTTCCAATGAAATACAAACATTATTGCAAAAAAATGAAGAAGTATGTATTTTGCTAATATTAACTTTGCCGCTTCATAATAGAAGTCCCTGAATTTGTGTTTTTCTGACTGTGGTGTCATTGAAAACTATCTTCTCCAGGTCTGGTGAATGGGGTGACCATGTCACACTACAAGCAGCTGCAGACAAGGTTAATTCTCTTTTTTATGCTATGTTTCTAACATCATTTGTTCTACTGAATTTTCATGCAACTTATGGCATCATTGCAACACATTTAGCCATTGCGCTACTATGCAAATGATTGCTATTATTTTCGTATCTTACTGAAATACAAAACAAAGATAACATATGTTGTCTATGGTATAGCCTCAGAATAGAACCTTAATGATCTTGTATTGTTGCAGTGCATTTAAATTCATCATATATCAATTCATATTTGCATCGTGCTTCACTAAAATCACCATACTTCTGAGGCAAACACATACTCATAGTTTTCTACTCTATAAGGGTAGTCTATGTTCATATTTACTGTTGAATATGAGTTGCCTGGAGTCTGGAGAAAGAATATGTCTAATTTTTTCATGTACTTTTGGCAGTTTGCGGCAAAGATATGTCTTCTTACATCATTCAGAGATACCTGTTTTGTTGAAATTGTTCCTCAATATCAAGCTCCACAGAGAGGTAAGGTTCCTTTGTTATACTTATTAGTGACTACTAGCAGATCAGCTAAATAGAAAACTCTGCATACTGTTCAGTCCACACTGAGCAATATGCTATTTCAGCATTATTATTAGTTTATGCATACACCTTCATGATCACTGCACACTTCGCTACATAGGTGGACATAAAAGTTGTGTAGCTATGTTTACTGACCCTAAAATCCTATGCCTTTTCAGAGATTTGGCTGAGTTTCTGGTCAGAAGTTCACTATAACTCACTGTACGATGCTCGAGGTCAGAACCACATATACTTAACGTAACTTGCTTATGGAAAGTCTGAAATACATTAATGTGATGTCTTGCTATGTATACCCATCTTTTAAGAAAAGGAAGTACTTGTTGCTGTGCAGATCTCCCTAGCAAATATAAGCCTAGAAAGAAGCACTGGTTGTTGTTTTAATATCAATGCGGGAGTTTGCTTCATACTGGTGGAATCATATTGCTTAGACCGTTTAGACCACCGTCCCCCGGTGGCAGCCTGGACATTAGCTCCTTGTGGCTTTATACCCTATATAGCTCTGCATCAATGATCCATTGTGTTGCTCGGTACAGCTACAGCATGATCCAGGCATGGAGCACTAGATACAGTTACAATGCTGAACCTGAGCCTTGTGAATAGATACTCCTTTACTGACATATACAGGTTGATTGTAATACCCTGTCCTATTCGTTCATTGTTATATTCTTTACTTATACAGCTACATATTAGTGCTCTTCATCAGTTCATTATTCACTTCATTTTTGGAAGAATTCATCATTGCATTCTTGGCCCAAATGATGTTTCAAAAAAAAAAATTCTTGGCCCAAATGTTAATTGCCTTTTGCTGACACGTTTTATGGTGCATGGCTTGTCTGCCTGAATCTGTTTATCATATTTCATGTCTGGACTGGGTGTACACAGCAGTTGTGGTACAGCCTGCCAAGTGGTGCAAACCCTGAGTGACTGATTCTAATGCTTTACAGTAGGTATATGAAGTAGTAGTCACTTGTTATTATTGGATTATTATCGCTACTCGAAATGTTTGTTGTCTGTACTACGAGTGGCGTCTTTCAATGGGGATTTTTGGCACTTGGCCTGGTGTTGTTTAGACTTGAGCTATGTTTAGGGTGGTGAAATACATGAAACAGGGAACAATTAACTGCACTATAAACATACGATACCCTTCTCCAATGCTGGGAAGCGGGTGTCTATCCACCTCGGACTGCTTGGTCGGTGGGCTGCGATGCTAGTCCAACTGCCCCTTCAAATCCGTCCAGAAGTTTTTCAAAAAAATAAAAAAAAAATCGGTCTTCCTGCCTCGTGGCCCTCTTTCTTCCCCACCGCCTCGCACCCCGCGCATAGCGCAGCACGGGGCGGCGCGATAGCCCTGCCGGCCACCAGCGTAGCTGTCTGCCCCCACTGCCTCCTCGCTGCTTCGACCTGGCATCGCGCCGCCCTCCTTGCCCACCTGCTGCACCGCCCACGCTTGCTGCCCTGCGCCCTGAACCGGAGGACCACCGGCTCCTTGAACTCAGTGTGGCAGCGAGGACCGTAGGCTGCTCTTCTTTCAAGATCCGTCCATCACCTCCTTAAACTCGATGTGGGCACCATCTTCTCCGCTTCTTGCCCCGGGCCGCTGCGTCCAGTGAACTTCACACGTCGACGAGCCTCCATTCTCTCAAGTAGCAAGAAGATGTTGCGCTGAAAGCGCATATTACAAGCGTGTGTTTTAAGTGTTTCAGAGGTATGTTGCAAAATGTTTCGTACATATTTGATACAAAGTATTTTTGGAGCTATAGAAAATACCATGGTTTTGTGAATTTTTTTTGGTTTAGAGTGCTATGAAGTGTTTGGTTGCAACAAATTTTATGGTTTTAAATACCATGGTATTACTAAAACTGTGGGTTTTTTTGTTGTTTTAAAAACTCTACTCTAGACCTCTTTTTTCTAAACCACGGTTTTTGCACATCAATAGTTCTAAAACTACAGTTTCTTGATACTATAATTTCTTAATACTACATCCAAATAAGGCCTAAATCTGTAGCTAGAGCCGCTGTTTTTATGCAGCGAACACCCCCGATATTACAAACGTCAGGGGTTACAGTATGTTTGTTTGGCTGTGGCTTGTCGTATATGATCGTAAATTTCTAGCCGGAATAGTATTTTTCTCTCACACAAATCAACCAGCAGTACTACTTTACGAACCAGCAACAATACGAACCAGCCAACCGAGCATGCTTATATGGATGGATGGCAGTGATAGGCTACTGGGCCAACCTCTCCGTGCCGTTGAATTTGAGGAACGAATATACAAGGAGCAAGAAGATGAAATATTAGGGAGTTGCAAAGCTCAGTAGTCTGACATTGCTTCCGTTTGCAGTGACCAATGTGGTCAATATGGAATTAGGTGGTGTTTGGATTCAGTGACTAAAATTTAGAAGATGTGTCGAAAGGATATTGTATGGGGTGTTCGGATACTAATAAAAAAACAAATTACATAATCCGTCAGTACTCCACGAGACGAATTTTTTAAGCCTAATTAATCCATCATTAGCACATGTTTACGGTAGCACCACATTGTCAAATCATGAACTAATTAGGCTTTCGCAAATTAGTCGCAAACTATGCAATTAGTTTCATAATTAGTCTATATTTAATACTCCATGCATGTGTCCAAATATTCGATGGGACAACGACTAAAATTTAGGAGGGGCAACCAAACACCACCTAACTGAACAAGATAATGAAATTTGAGAAGAAACTTCCCTCGTTGTTCTAAGGATGATTCATTATCTTGTCACTTTTTTTTGCTTTGTGAAAACTAACGAATTATCTATAGCCATCACATTCATCACAGCTAACTATTACAATAACCATGAGGAGAAATTGAGTCATTCATAACCAATATCATAAGATGAACTCAGGACGCAAAACCTCATTGTATTTGTGCAAAATTGATGTTGCTGAATGCAAGTGACTGGGCAATAATGGCGAGGACAGAGGGATCAAATCACGGAGGAAGATCTCTTATGATCATCAGTATGTGTGTATATATATATATATCGTGGTAATCCCTCCGGTCACAAAAACATGTAGTTTAAAGATAAAATTGTGTCCAGAGTTTTTTTTTGTACTGCTCCAATACTTCTTTTTCTAAAAATTACACGAATATTAAAGCAGCGTATCTAGCCAATTATTCTTTATTAATTATTTTTGTCTTGGGCCTGACCCGTCCAAGCCCAGCGAGTGTCCAGTCCTCACCCAAATCCAAAGTAATATCTCTCAGATCCCCCTTTGTTCGATGCCTGCTCGTTTGATTTCCTCGTTGAAGGAGACCGGGAGGCGACCATTCCCGGCGATTGTTCTTTTGCGCTGGTAGCCGGCGGACCGAGCACGGCAGCACCTCCATTCACCGGATCACGCAGTCGCGAGAGCCGGGAGGCTGTGATGTGCGTTTGCCATTGCCATTGCGGGGTGTCACACGCCATGGGGAAGCGCCGCACGCTGGCAGCATCATGCTTGGCCACGCGCACGTGAGGAGCAGTGTCGTCTCGGCGTCGTCGATCCAGTGCTCTCCGTTCAATTCCCTCAGTAACAGATGCAGTATCGAAACCTGTCTGCAGCTTGTTCGTTTCGTCGTAACGATCGTGGATTATAAGCTAGAACAGTATTTTTCTCTCACACCAAACCAGCCAGCAGTACTTCTGACTTATAATCCACGATCGTTTTAGCCGAAACAAACAGGCTGCTAAATGGTGTGCCTGACCAAATCAGGAAGCACGCGTCTGTGCAGCATCACATCCAACTCCAGCGCATCCTGCTCGACGACGAGACGATGCCGCTCCTATCATGTGTGTCGCCTAGGTCCGTGCCATCCTCCTCCATGGCCCCGACGCCAAGACGACGCTGTTAGGATCATGGTGTACCTTTATGTAACCGTAGATCTGGGGTAAGCCTCCTCGCCTTTGCGTAGTTGCACCGCAGCAGGGTAGACGCCGGTACCGTGGGGTTGTTGGCGTCGTGGTGGCGATGCAGTGGACTGGTGGTGACGCTGCAAGGGCGATGACGGTGCGGTGGGGCATCCCGTCGCTGGCAGCACTCCTTTAGATCGGATTAGGTTTCTCTGTAGTGAGATTGCGGCGGCTTCGGTTAACTTCGTTAGTCGAGCCTAGTTCCCTACTCCTATATTTATAGTGCTGTGCGACAGGGGCCCACCAACCACATTAGGGTTGGACGCCCCCGATCAGGACGCAGATCCAAGGGTTCAATAGGCCGTTAGGCCTATTAGTGGAGATCAACTAACATTCTCCTCCTTGATCTCATTACTATCTTTCAATTTTATATCATTTACTTTTGTTTATTCCATTACAGATTAACACATAGAGCATGTCTCATCGTCACGGTCCATTGTCGATGGATTTAACATCTACAACACACTACTCTGTTCTGAAATAGATACTTATCGTTGGGCCTTGTTTTGTTCAGGAATTTTAGGCTTTCCTTTAAACCCATGCTAGCTACATGTTCTCTGAACACCATATTCTCTGAACACGTTGGATGGTAAACCTTTTGTAAGCGGATCCGCGAGCATCTTTTCTGTACTTATATGCTCAAGACTTATGACTTGATTCCGGACTTTATCTTTCACAACATAATACTCTATGTCAATGTGTTTGGCAGCACCATTTGACTTGTGTTGTGAGCATACTGTACTGCCGGATTATTATCGCAGTATAACTTAAGTGGTCTATAGATGTCGTCAACCACCTTCAAATCGGGTATGAACTTCTTTAGCCAGTTCACGTGCCCCGTTGCCTCATAACACGCTACAAACTGTCATACATTGTGGACGATATAGCGGCGGTTTGCTTTGAGCTTTTTCATAAAATAGCTCCCCTTTGCGAGAGTGAATACATATCCCGACGTGGATTTTCTATCATCTCCCACATAATCAGAATCTGAATATCCCACTATAAGGAGTGTATCAGATCTTCTATACGTCATCATGAGGCCTTTCGTTCCTTGCAAATAATGCAAGACTTTCTTTACCAATTTTCAGTGTTCTGTTCTAGGATTGCTCTGAAATCTGCCAAGTAACCCGGTAATAAATGTCAAGTCAGGGCGCGTACATACTTGAGC